AAAAAATAAAAAATATATATATATATATATATATATATATATATATATAAATAATAATAATAATAATAATACATATATACATACACACACACACATATATTTTTAATTTATTATTTTTATTAGTACATAAATTTTGACTCTACAAAATTTAAACCCATGACTTGAAAATATTGACTTTTGGGTAATGCAATGGTAAGGGTGCTGTCTCGGATGTTTTCCCACAGTCGTGCTTGAAAGTGTTGTAGCGTTGGTGCTTGTTTGATTGACAATGGTAATATTTTCCATGCTCTTATTGTACGTGGGAAAAAACAGAACTTGTATTTGTCTGTATTAAATTTAATATCTCTAAGACTATAATAACTGTTGCTTCTTAGTTGTCTACGGTACTTTGTTCTATCATGCTAATGTTGGGGAGTACTATGGGTGTTCTCCCATGCTATGTTTTATATAAGAGGGATTGTCGTGCGACAAACCTTCTTTGCTGGAGGAGTTGTTATAGGCACAGCGTACGGGTAGGTTTGGTATTAATTAAGTCTTGGTAAAATTGGTTAAGTCAGTACTAATTGGTGTAGACATAATTGATATAAGTAAATGCTGGTATATATTGGTCTTAGTAGAGACAGGTTTGGTATAGTTGTCATTTTTGGTAAAAATTGATACCATTTAGATTGATATAATTTAGGCTGGGTTAAATTAGTACTATTTGTCTTGGTATAACCATGGTATAATTGGCATAGATTGGTCTTGATACAACCTGATACAGGTTATGTCAGAAAGAATTGGTCTAATGGTATAATTAATATGGTTTAGATTGTGCCTCACCCCCCACCCCACACATACCTCTTGTTTGAAAATTCTGGATCTGCTCCTGATTTTTACACAGTTTTGAAGAAGATGCAATTGTTTGTAGGCCTAGGCTATGCAGTACTACTATAATTATAAGGAGGTGTTCTGATTGGCGATTTTTTAGAGCATAGAGACCTATGTATTGTTTCATTTCATTTATTCGTCTCAAAACATTAAAATTGACAATAAAGGAAACATCAAAGAACAAGCACAGACAATATGAGACAGGACACCCCAAAAGTTAACTTAATCACTGTCGAGTGGGGGCCAAGCCCATGAAATTAGGAAAAAATTAGGTCAGCAAAATTTGCCAACCTTAAATTCTCCGAGGTCGGCAGCCTCGGCAATTTTTTACTACCTAGGCCTATATAATATAAACTATGATTTTTCCAAACGCTCGACCTTACATCATCATCTACAAGATTGTGATTTTGTTAATTTATCTTAAATCAATATATTGCTGGTGAAAGAATGGTCGTACTTGTAATAATTTAATAGTGTAGTTTTCAGATTTCCTTTTCAGATGATTCAATGAAATTTACTTTAAAATTCAAATTTAAAATGCTAAGGTATATAAAAAAAAATAAAAGCAATTAAGCTATTCACCTCCATAGTCAGGTTGCCTAACAGAGAAGAAAGTTAATAATTGTAAAGATTCTATAGTAAAATAAGCATAATTTTAAAGCATAAATTTTTATTATGCACTTTACAAATATTATTATTATTATTAATATTATTATTATTATTATTATAATCTTTATTATTATTATTATCTTTATTTTTATTATTATTAATTTTATCATTACCATTGCTATTCTGCCTAAAGCTGGCCTAGGTATGATGTTGTGCCTACCTAGCCTTTTAGATGCCCAAATGTTATTTTAATTTTCCATTTTTAGGTAGCAGTATGACTTAGGCCTATATTTTCGAGTTACACCTGATGTTACTACTTTCATCCCTCAATATCTCTAAGCATAGTGTTATATGAAGGTTAAATATAGTAACTGCATCATAACAACAAATTATAATGGCAACCGGTATATAGTAAACAAGACAAACGTTTCATTTATTTATTTAATTTTTTGTATAGCCTTCTGTGTACCTACAGTATCTATGCTGACTTAATTTATGTTCTTTTTTTGTGCATGTTAGGATTGTATGTTATTGTCATTTTCTTTTTATGTACCTATTATGCTCATCTATGTTTGGATTCTTTTTCTATTTGCAGCACACTTTACATTATTGTCATAGTAAATCATTGAATATAGCTTGCTATCAATTAATCATGTCCCAATGTCTAGTTGTGGGAATGGTCAACAAACAATTATTTAACATTATTTTGGTATATTCACAAATAACTTTAGAAGGATGTTTACTCGAAATAGTAAAATTTTCAAAATCCTCAAAATCATGCCTACTGTATTTTTATCCAGTTATAGCCTCCTTAGGATGAAAGGTGACCCCCAATTTCTATTACATGAGTTGTAGATATGACTTTATAGATCATTATGGCTGATTGGACATTGTGATGTCATCATATTGCCATCTAAATTCAAAATTTATGACGTCACTATTTTTATATCGTTATGACGTGCGCGCATGAAATTAAGATATATGACATTCAACCTTGACCTGAAGTTTATGTCCACTGAGTATGATTTAGAAATGACAATTGGTTAGGATGATATGATCAATAATGTAACAAGTAATAAAAAATGCAAAATTGCGCATAGATGACGTCACGCATGACTGAGCACATTGAAAAGCTTATTGTCACTATTCTAGGCCAAGCGAAATGTTCGTTGAAACTCTCATGTTCGTAGCTTTTGGCAATTTTAAGATATCGTGCTAACAAAAATCGCCAGAAAGAAAGAATTAAAAAAAAAAAAGATGATGATCTCTGACAATGAGGTGATCCGATGGGGAAGCGGATCACCAATTACATTATCATTTACATGGGTAATACAGTCTTACCTTCTACATAGCTTTTTAGTTTGGAAGAGGTTGCCAGAGCCTGGATATTTTTAGCCACTACTCCACTATGCCGTTCGGCCTTATACGCCATCTTGATTTTGTCGATGTTTGCACAGTCACCCACAGCAAAGATATTGTCATGACCCTCGACCTGAAGTGTGGGACGAACCTTCAAGCTACCACTCTCATCCATACAATCACCTATATACAATGCAATGCATAACATTACCAGCTACAGTAGTTAAATTTGTAGTTACTGCTAACCAAGACTTTTGCTTGTACAGGGCAGAGTGTGGTGACAGGAACAAATTGAACCTATAATTTGGGAGTTTTGTACCCTTTAGGTACTGAACCAAAAGTGAGGTAGTGCCATAACCATCTTTGCCCTTAATGGACCAGCGTCAAAGAAAAAATGTTCAGAATATTTGTTACGTAAAACAACATCTAAACATATGTATATAAATACTTTAGATTCATTTCTGAATTCACCACTCAAAAAAAACCAAACAAAAAACATTTCAAATTTGAAACAGCACATAATACAAAACTTAACACAAAATTTTGCTTCATACATATATATGCTGAAAATATGTAGGCCAGGATAAAATGGCCGACCTATGACATGACATGCTATAGAAGGATGGTTTCTGAGTTGAATTTTCTCATACTCAGCAGGCAGGTTTTGCCTACAAATTTAATAATTTGCTAAAATGTATCACTAGTTCTTATGAACTGGATGATGTCAAAACATTTGCCAGATAAAAAAGCAAAAATGTTTCTCAACCCCAATATCCCAATCCCACCCAGACATTTGTGTGCTGTCTCTTTCTTTTTCAGAATCAATGGGTAAAAATTTTTTCATTAATCAGATTTAAATTTCATCACTTACCCAATGCTTTGGAGTAGACATCTGAGTTGACCTTCAACCCTATGCAGACAATAACTAAATCAGCTTCAATTTCTGATCCTTTGTCAGTTTTTACAACACACTTTGCCGAACCGTCCACTGGGAGTTCACTGAGATTTGTCACTTTTTCTCCTACTCAGAACAGAAATAAAAACACAGACTGTTTCATGTTTCATTCAGGCGTGGAAGAATAACAGAATTTAACAGGTTTATGTATAGTTGAGCAGGTGGATATGCAAATGAAATATTTGTGATGATTCAAGCACCAGTAGAATTTGAGTTCCTTTCATTTCTTTAACATGTCTGATGTCATGATTTTGATATATATATAAAAAGTGCCAGAGACACTTTTTTTCATAGAACTGAAATAAAGGAACTTCACTGGTGAGCTATGCTTGAATTGAGTATTACCACATGTAACATTAAAGCCAGGCTCCAGAGAAAAAAAAATTGCTGATATGTTGTAGAACTGATTCATATAAAAAGATACAAAAAACCTTATTGGATGAAAAACTTGGAAGCGGTTAATGAGATACAGTTTTTTAAATATTTAAAAACTAGGGGTGGGGGGGGGGAAAGGTTTTTAAAATTATTAAAAAATCTGTATCTCATTAACCACTTCCAAGTTTTTCGGCAAATTTGCTTTTTGTGTTTTAGAAAAATCAGTTCTACAACATCTAAAACAAAAATTTTCCTCCGAAGCCTTGCATAAATGAGCATGTGCGCTATCGACCATGTCAGGAAGTATCCAAAAAAAGTCCCTTTTTAAATAAAAAAGAAATAGTCCAACTTTTAAAGCCCCATTCCCGGCAAAATTTCACTAAAAACTGACTTTTTTTAGAAAATATGCATTTGCATTACTCCAATTATTATAAATCATGGAAAAATATTGGCATGAATTTTAGTTTTACGCAAAAGAATTAAAAAAAGAGAAATACAGACTATTTCTCATAGAATATTACCATTTTCTCGACGAGTTCATCGTTTACTAGGCAAATAATTCAGAGGTTGTAGATCGCATCCACTGGAATACTCTCGCTTTTATGTATACTTTATACAGTCAATAAAGTGCGCCCTCTCTAATGAGATTAGTTTTTGTACTTCGCATCTCGCACAATGCGGTCGTCCCCGTTCGGTTAGGCTGAGATATGTTTGTTCAAGTGTCAAAATCTCAGTCAGAATCAGTTTTTTAACAAATTTGAAATAATTCCTATGAAATATTATATTGTCAAGTGTCAATACTAGCAACGGAAAATATCATGTCGGCCGTTTTTATGTGTGATAACAGAACCTAAATCGAGATAAGGCTAGGCCTAGCCTAGCAGCGTTGGATAGGCTAATGTTTTCGGCGCCTATGATATTTCTTCTCTCGACCTATCGCAAAATCAAACATAAAAAATTCATCTGCATTTATTTTTTGTGTGGAACACAAAAAAAATAAAATTTCAGTCTTATTTTACATTTTTTTCATTCTTAGGAATGTCTAAATTCAGTTAAACTAGCAATTCCGTATTATATTTATAAATCTTTATAACATTATACAAAAATTAGATTTTTCTTAAAAACTGAAATTTTGCCGGGAATGGGGCTTTAAATTTGATTATAAATTTTCACATATAAAAATAATTATAATTCTTATTTATAATCATTTTTTAATATTAACTATTACTATGGTACTTGCCTAAAACCATCTTGACTCCCGAAGCCTGGAGCTCATTACGTACTTTGTCTCTGAATGATTGGCCCATCAATGGACTGATCAACACCTCACTAGAATGTACCATGGTCACCTCTTTCTTTGGGTAATCCACAACAATCTCACCTGCCAACTCTGTCCCTGATGCACCGCCACCAATCACAGTAATTTTGTGTGCACTTTTGATCTGAAAGTAGGATAATTGAAGAAATGACCAAAGTTTCTTAAGCTTTGAATATAAATAACAGTAATGACAATAATAATATAATTGTTATTATTATTGTCATTACTGTTATTTATATTCAAAGCTTAAGAAACATTTCTTCAATCATCATTCCTGATGATGACATAATTAATGTCGAAATATTGAATCCCAACACGATGGCGTGTATTTCAATACTTGGAGTATGTATTATACTTTCTTATCTGAGATTAATCAGTGGACCTTTCGGTAATATAATTGTTGTTGAAAAGAAAAATAAATGTACTATAATTCCATTTAATCTAGGACCTGACTATAATATGCTCTTTTTATTTGGAAGAGAATATCTCAACTGTTATAGGATAATTTGAACCCAAGGAACAACTTGGGATGTGTGTCAAAATTTCTACCCAGGTTGTAAAGCCAGAAACCACACCCTTACAAAAATGGCCACGCCCCCTTTTCACAGAAGGTGCAACTTCAAACTAAAGGCTAATCAGAAATTGATTCAATGAGCAAGAAGCAAACTATTAAGAAAGATGATTATGATGATGATGAAGATGACAAAAATAATAAACAATAATAGTAATAATAATCATGGTGCAAGGATACATCAGTCAAGGTACGCTATTGCTCTTAGAATTTGGAACTGTTGCCCTTCGTCCCTTCTATTTACCAAGGGAATTTTCACAAGTACTAGTCACAGTCATTTATATACACCCAATGACCCTTAACCATTTCGTGCACTTTTATAGGATTCTAATTCATTCATTAACATTGCGTCATGAAACAATATTGGGAGCATATAAAACTATTGTTGTTTTAATTATATTTCTGCTGATTTCATATTATATAAATGAATTGTGTTTGCCTTGAAAATTGCTATGAGTTAGTTATAATTCTACCATAACTAATTATGTCAATAAAAATAAAATTATGAAGAATTGTATGTCATCGTTATATGAAAACATGCCAAAAACCCCTATTAAGGGGACACTTTTTTTGGTCCCGAAGGTATCCCTTAATAGGGGTTCTACTGTAATTCCATTCATGTTTTCAATAAACATTTTAGAAGATAGGTCACATTTGAAATGCTGTTATGTGTTTGATATCTATTTATAATATTCCTCTTTTTATTCTGAAATTGCACATGCTTCTTTTTTTGCCTATCGGATCAATCAGCACTAATTTCATTTTTACCATGATGTTTAAATGACAAAGGTGTATCGTATCATATCGTATAATAACCATAATTATGATAATAACCAAAATAAATAATAATTGTAATATTATATTCATAAACTGATTGCCTACCAACTCTATCTGCTTTTCATATTGTGCGATTGCTTCATTGACGCTGGTTTCTCGTTTGATTTTACCAGGGAAAGCCCCTTTTGTTCCTGTTGCAATTACTAAGAAGTCATATGCAATTTCTTCTTGGCCTTCTTCCAAAACAACACATTTTTCTGATATCTTTATCTCC